ATTACAAGCAAGCAAATAATCCCCACAAAGTCCTGCCAATCTGGGGGTTTTCCATCACCATTGGCCAGTGCTATTGCCATTATAGCTGCAGCTTCCATCACCCATGACAAAGGATTCCACATGAACCCAAGAAACTTGAGTATTTTGCTTTCCTGTTTATTAGAATAACAAAAAAATGAAGTTTTTAGCCATAACAACGTGAGTAATATTGGTCAAAGTGTTAAAATGAAAACCATTTAATCACAAAAGAAAATGACCTTTTTCTCTTCCAATTTGTTTGGTCCAAAGATCTGAAGCCTGTTGGCTCCTTCTTCTGCACTTAAACCTTCCCTGGAGCATTTCAGCTGCTCAAACACTTCCTCAATGGGAACCTTTTCCTGTAAAATGCAAATAAATTGACAATCATAAAACTCAATACTTTTATGGAGCTTTAAACTTTCTAATAAAATCACCACAAAAGAAAATATTTGTGAACTTGATAGAAACTAGGATGCATGATTGCCATGGAAGCAGTACAATTGTAATTTTCCTAACAAACTTGGAAAATAATTTATCAATCTTTTTGTTTTAATCATTTTTCGTTTTTGATGGTGAAAATTTCTAACTGACTGACTCTGTCATCTAATAAAAAAAAACTTAAGGAATAAATTCTACATACACACAATCACATGCAAATTGGTTAAGCCACAATGTTTTGGACCCCATGAGAATCAAATAAGAGACCTTCAAAAATTACCTCATAATGGAACCCTATGTTTAACTTTTTAGCCACTGAGAATAAAATTCAGCTTAGTCATGATTACTTGTTAAAATTATGGTTGTTAACTTCTCACCATTATAAACAACATTGGGGTTTACTATACAGAATTACACCATTATAAACTCTTCCTCATTGTTCAGTTAAAAGAATTACAATATTTTTTGTAATTTAAAATTTGTTCAATAAAAAATTAAGAGTTTTTTTTTCTCCGTAAAATTAGGATTTCCACACCTACTCACGAATCTCTCCAACCCCTTAGTTGATTTTGAAATCATGGACTGTTGAATATGGATGAATCGATCCAGTGGCAGATGACATACAACCCACTAGACCATGACCCCGCAAACACTCCTAAATTTCATAATATATAATCACATATAATAATTCCATAAGACTAAAAAACATATATGTAAAATCTTTGTTAGTGTAAAACTTGTCAATTTTGCAACTCTTCAAATCAAATAAATAAATAACATAAACAACATAAAAATAAGGATAAATTACAAATACATGGCCTCCTGTAGTTTTAAAAATTATATCTAGCCTCTTGAAATTTATAATTTCATAATCAAATGGTCTCTTTTATTAATAAATCATTAAGTCAATTAATAATTTTAATAATGTCATGAATTTATTTCAATTAATAATTTTGGTAATTTTATTATATTATTCTATAGTAGAGTAGTTAGAATTCATTTTTTTCAGTTACTTAAATAAAAAAATTTGACAATGAAATATTTATAAATTTTCAAACCACAAAAGAGATTAACCTTGCTTGGTTTGGTTTTGAGGGGAAAAAAAAAAAATCAGAATTTCTTTTGAAAAATAAAAATTAATTTTATGACAATAAATATCAAAAAATATTTTTAAATTTTAAAAAATTATTTGTGACCTCCCAAAAAATAAAATTAAGTAAAAATGATAAGCATTTTTTATTTTTATTTTAAAAAAATTCTTTAAAATTTTTTTGAAAATTAAATCAATCATGATCATTTTATATTTTAAATAAATTTTAGAGAATGTATTTATAATATATCACAAAAATAAATTGAAAAAATAATAAAAATAATATTAGGGATGAGTGGAAAAGTTGAGTGGCCATTCAGTTATAATGGGCAGATTTTGAAAGGAATTTAAAAAGGATTTGGAAGATTTTGAAAAGAAGTTGGGAAAGAAAAGAAAAGAAAAGAAAAGTTGGGCGTAAAATCAGATGAAATATAAACGATATTACTATATGTATTAATTAATGTATTAATTAATATATCAAAATTAATTATGATATTATCATTGAAATAATATTATATGTATTTATTAATGTACTAACTAGTATATTAACTGATGATGTGACATAATTTTAGAAATTTTAAATATTTGTAATTTGTGCAATAAGTGAGGTCAATAATAATGACATAACAGTAGTTGGTAATAATAATGGCATAACAGTAGTTGATACACTAGTATATACATTAGTTAGTGCATATAGAACCACCGTTATTATTGACTTTATTCATTATATAAATTATAAATACTAAAAATATCTTAAACTATATCACATTATCAATTAATATATTAATTAATATATATAATATTATTTAAATATAAATATATTTTACTTATATATATATGTTTTTTTAAATATCTTCTTAAATTTTCCAGTCAAATATAATTTAAATAGTGAGTATTAATTGGTAGCCAATCCCAATGGGGGTTTCATAAAGTAACCAGGGCGATAAGAAAGTGCAGTTTATGTGATGGGTGGGCCCCCGAGGCATATCGACGCGTGCACGTCACGATTTTCATTACAGATTGATTCCCCCAAAGAGGGGCATCTTTGTGAATTTACAAAAACCATGGGGTCCAAAAGTCTGTGAGAAATCAAAAAGCATCGGGAAATCCAAAAAATATACGGCCCCTGTTTGAAAAGATAGGTTGGTTTGAGATTATTTTAGTTAAGAAAATAAATTTTTTAATTTAATAACATAAAATATGTCATTTAATTTATAATTATTAAATTTTTTTTCTTTCATAAAAAGTCAAAAAATTCTTTCCAAATAAGATTTTCTAGTTTTAGACTAAGGCTTCGTTTGGCAAGTGCTCCTTTTAGTCAAAAAGTCAAAAAATTATTAAAAAAATCAAAAAACTAACAACTCATATCAAAAAGTCAAAATTTTTCTTTTCCTCTCTACTTTTTACACATTTTTTCGTAAAAAACCAAAAAATCATCTCAAATATACTAATTTTTTTACATCATATTTTAACTAAAAAGTTATTAAAAAAATATATTTCCAAATGAGACCTAAAATAATCAAAAAGTCAAAAAACTAATCTATTTTCCAAACGAATCCATATGTCAGTTATAGTCCGTAGTCAGAGCAGTAAATTAAAAAAAAGTCAAATGTTTATAAGAGCATCTTCGGTGGTAAATTAATTTTTTTATCAAATTTGAGTAAAAATTTAAGTAAAAATTTCTTTTAATATTAAGTGTTCTAATGGAGAATTTTGAAAATTCATCAGAACACCAGTCAACCGGTCAGTATAAATTTATTTTTTTTTTCCCTTGAGGAGATCGATCGGCCAGTATAATTTTTTCACAAATTTTTATCTTGAGATAGTCCTTCAGAGGAATTTAGGAGGACGTCCGACAACAGTAATGAATAGTGATTTAATGAAAAGCTCATTAATCCTTAGTTTGATGATAGAAAAGTAAAATTTTTAATTTAATATTTATTTGATGAAATAATTAGAGCAACAAAAGGACTTAATTTCCATTAAATTTTAATTTAAATAACCATTAGAGATGATCTAAGTGCTTTATATGTATTATTTAATATTAAAAAGTATATATAAAATATCTTAAAAATATATACAATTATTAAAAAATATATTAATTTCAATAAAAATATATTAAATTTAATAAAAAAAATATTTTGTATTCTTAAAATATTATCTTTTGTTTATGTCTTAGAACACTGGTTAATCAGACCCTACAAGAAAGAACGAAATGACTCCAAAAGAAAAAGGAAATAATCATATATTTTAAACCCATCAAAAAACTGCAGTTTTTGTCTGAACACCAGAAAAGCTATAGGTACCACGGAAAAGTACCAAATTTTTTAGAATTTACCGACCCGAAAAAAAGTTAGGCTAATATTGATGATTCTTACTTTTATTCATAAAATAATTGTCAAAACATTTCAGTACTCTTTTTGCCTGTATTTGGGAAGGGACTTTTTGGATTTTTTTTGGACTAAAATAGCCACAAAAGATAAAATAGACTATTTTAGTCATAACAAACAAAACATCACATCCAATCCATAATCATTACACTATTCTCTCAAAAAAAAAAGTCAAAAATTCTTCCCGAATCAAGTTTTTTAATCCAGACTAAAATAGCTAAAAAAATCAAAAAGTTAACCCACTTCCCAAACGAAAACATTTATACGTTTTAAAATGTTTTTATAACTAACAGGGACAATTTAGAAACTTGGTAAAAAATTAACCTTTTAGCCTTTTACTAGTCCTCTCAAAAAAAAATCACAAAAAAATCATAAAAAAATCAAATAATTAAAAAGTTAACTTTTTACCAACTTTTAAAAACGTTTCACAATAGTAAGAACTGTTTTAGCAATTATCATTTTGATATTCATGTAGATCTCACTTTATAAGCAATCTCAAAATAATTATTAAGTACAATAAAGTTCACACTTAAGAGGGCTAATTTGCAATCTAGGTGGTATTCAAATATTAATTAGATTTGAATATTAAATTTTAAACACCCTATAATACAACAATGCATTAGTAACATATTAATTGCATTCAAAATTAATATTTAAATAGAAATTTTAGTCCAGGCTAAAATAGTTAAAAAAATCAAAAAGTTAACCCACTTCTCAAACGAAACATTTATATGTTTCAAAATGTTTTTATAACTAATAGGGACAATTTGGAAACTTGGTAAAAAATTAACCTTTTAGCCTTTTACTAGTCCTCTCAAAAAAACCATAAAAAAATCAAATAATTAAAAAGTTAACTTTTTATTAACTTTTTAAAACGCTTCACAATAGTAAGAACTGTTTTAGCAATTATCATTTTGATATTCATGTAGATCTCACTTTATAAGCAATCTCAAAATAATTATTAAGTACAATAAAGTTCACACTTAAGAGGGCTAATTTGCAATCTTGCTGGTATTCAAATATTAAATTTTAAACACCCTATAATACAACAATGCATTAGTAACATATTAATTGCATTCAAAATTAATATTTAAATAGAAACGAATGATGTTATGTGTACTAATTGATGTACTAATTAGTGTACCTATTGATGATGTGGCATAATTTCAGAATTTTTTTAAATTTGTAACGTGATTAATGAGTGGAGTCATAATAATGTCATAACTAGTATTAATACACTAATTAGTATACTAATTAGTGCATTTAGCATCACCAAAATAGAAATATATCAAAGGGTGTTTTGGAAAGATAATTAAAATTAATATTTTAGTAAAAAAATAAAAAAAAATAATATGATTCAAAATGAATTAAAAAATAATTTTTTACCCACTTCTCAATGAAGCCAAACATACACGTGTATATAGATCTGGAATAAATGGTTACTTATGTGCACAGCAATCTGTAAAGATGCTTCAAGCAAAACCTCCTTTTATGATCTAAATCCAAAATAGCAAAAAAAAAATAAAAATTAAAAATTAAAAATTAAAATAGAATAAATTTCTGATTTTCCATTTTCATAGGATACGGTCAACATGGTTGAAACATAGCCATTATGAGGTGATTATTGAGGAGTTTCGGAATATTCACACCTAATATTTCATGTATTATAATTTCATTACTTATTATACTGAAAAAAATGACTACGTAAAATATTATGTTACATGATTAAAAAATATAAAAAGACATAATAGATAATGATTGATTACATAATTAAAAAATATAAAAAAATATAACAAATAATACTTGATTGGAAGTTATGAGTGTTGTATTTTGTGAGAATGTCTATCGTTATTGAATTTTCCAGCCATTATAACTATAGAAAACAGTGGTGTTACGTTTTTCATGTGCTAAACAAAAAATAAAAATAAAAATAAAAAAAAGGAAAAAAAGATATATATAGATATGTGAATCATATCAATACAATTTTATAATATGTATATATATACATGTATATGAGGAGAGAGTGCCATTTTGGTAACATGGTAAAAAGCCACGTTTTTGGACAAAATGTCCAAAAACGTGGCTGCCAAAAAAGTCAAAAACGTCATTTGGCAAGTGCTAAAAACGCAGCCTTAAAATTACAAATTAGGGCCTATGAAAAATAAATAAAAAAATAACTCTCTTATGTTGGGTAAGAGTATTTTGGTCATTTTAGTTTGATTTGACACCATAAATAAATATTAAACTAAAAAGCAAAAAGCCAGCTTTTTACCAACTTCCCAAATCACTTCCAAAAAAGCCAAAAAACTTGGTAAAAAGTCAAAAGTCAACTTTTTACCAACTTCCCAAAACAACCTAGAGAGGAAGAGAGTTTTTGAAAAAAGTGATCAAAGATCATTACAGATTTGTGGTCACAAATATTGGCGGCGACGGCAACGATAGAGGTGGTGGCGGCGGCGATGATCAAGATCCATAATCTTTTTTTTTTTTTTATTTTTTTTTTTTTTTTTTTGTGAAAGAAGACTAAAAAAAACATTATATAAGAGAGAGAGAGTCAGGATGGATATGATGTGAGAATCAACTATTATTCACTTTGTTTGGTTCATTTTCAGAATTTATTTTTATTTTCTGATTTTTTTTTATTTTTACTGAATTTTTTTAATATTTTAAGTAATTTTTTTAAATTTTTAGACACACATAACAAAATACATTTAAAAAAAATAATTATGAAATTTTTTTTAAAAAAAATTCACTAAATATCAAAAATATAAACATAATACAAAAATTTAGTACATTTTTCGTATTTAATGTATTTTTTAATTTTTTAAAATATTTTTTATAAATATTTTACTATTTGACATATTTAAAAAAAGTAAAAATATTTCTTAAAATTTTAAAAATATTCACTCAAAATTTAAAAATAAAATAAAATAAACTTATTTTTAAAAAAAATTAAAAAATTAAAATCATGTAAAGCTGAAATTAGTTGAAAAAATAAATGAAAACACGCATGAAAAGAGTTTTGTAATCCACGCCAACTGAAATAGTGATGATCACAATATTCTATGTGACCTTTTTCAACCCCAAGTGGTTAAGGCTATTCTGTTTACATCTGAACTTACTCCATACATATATATATATATATATACATAAAAGTATAGATGTGTGTATAGAATGAAAAAAAGTTTTGATACGCATCATCCAGAAAATGAAAACAAAGAAATTTCTCAACAATCATAACTACTGAACAAACACACCGACAAACAGGTCAAACAAAGGAAAAACCGAAAGGACAGAGAGCAGAGAGCAGAGAGCAGAGATACAAAAAGAAAAAGTGACCTTTAAACTCATAACAATATATAATATAATACTCCTCATAGATCTGATTTCTCAGAGTTACATTTTCAGGGAAAATGACAAGAGAAATCAAATCAGAGGTTCCATACAAATGAAGCGCTACAAAAAAAAAAAAAAAAAAAAAAAAAAAGGAGAGAGAGAAAGAGAGAAGATGATTAAGAGGAGTAGAAATTACCAGATCAACAGTCTCGTTTTTGATCTCTTCGAGACTGATTGCCTTATCACCACCCATCTTGGCCAAGAGAGCTTAGACAATCACAAGAACACCCAACAAGAAAACAGAGACAGAGAGAGAGAGACTTTAAGTTGAAATTTGAAAACCAAAGTAGATGGTCAGCGGCATCCCACTTAAATGAAAGGATAGAGAGAGAAGGAGAAATGAGACATTGAATTGAGTGATTTCTCTGAATCCCAAAAAGAGGAGACTCTTTGTAAACAATATAAAGAGAAAGAGGAGGGTGGGGGGATTCTCGGCTTTTATACCTCACCCAGTCATACCACCCCCTTGTTGATGCCCCCTCCGTTTAAACCCCTCTCTCTGTCTCTCTCTCTCTCTCTCTCTCTCTCTCTCTCTCTCTCTCTCTCTCTCTACACATGCGCACTCTTTCACTCTCTGTCTGTCCACATCTATCAATAATAATAGTAAGAAAAATATTTTAAAACCTAATAAAAACTTTACAATTTCATTTATAATAATATAAAAAATATAAGGGCAAATCATCAATATTCCTTCCAGAATTGAATAAAATACGGATTTTTTTAAGGTTTAAAAAATTATATCCCACTCTTTCAAATTTATATTTATATAATAAATTGTTCTTTGAGATTTATATTTATATAATAAATTGTCACTTCATTTATTATGCAAATATAAAGTCTTGTTTGGCATATATTAAAAAAGTTAAAAAGTCACTATTTTATTTAAATCACATCATTTTATTTAAGTCGCATCATCTCTCTACAACATCACTTTAAATCCAACTCATATTTCATAAAAAGTCAAAAGGTGTACTTATCTAGAATATCTCAAATCATTCCTAAATCTAAAGAGGTAATTTTTAATTTTTCAAACCTCAGAAAAATTCGTGTTTTAATCAAACTTTGAGGAAAGTGTTGGTAATTTGTCCAAATTATAAAATGAAAAATGAGTTGAACCTCTTAAAGGAGGCACCTCCTTTGACTCCCTCTCTCCTTGATTGGCTAGTTTTTTTTTTTTTTGGTTCACTTGAACTCCTCTTTTTTTTCTTTTTTTTTTTTCAATCACCACCCGCTACATGTGTGTGGGATGATAAGAATGGTAATTGGAGGGGTCTCAATCAATTCCCTTATAAAATAACATATATTAATTTTTTCTTTTCACATTATTGCAAGTGTATTTACAAGTGTCAACTGTTATACAGAATGCGATTATTCCTTCTAATATAGTTACTAATCCCTAACCTTTGAAAAAAAAAAATAGTAATAATATAATACTACTAGGTAATTTTCACATTTTTTTTTTTTTTGTTACAGGAAAATCTTCTCACTCTCCCGTAGATCCAAGGCAGCGCCCCTTGAGGATATCACCAGGGTGTCCTGTTGTCCGTTCCGAGTAAGAGACTATAACCTGGAAGCTTGTCCCGACCTCCCAAGGCAAGCTTCGCTTAAGTCAGGACTCGCACAACGGAGGAGAATTAAACCCCACCAACTAGCTGATAAGGCATCCTTAAAATCAACCTCCTAACTAACTGTGTTACGTCTAAAAAATTGACTAAAAAAGAGTTAAACCCAGAATCTAGAGACTTAAATCCCATACCCTTACAAGTTGCCGCTCACCCCCTGGGTTAATTTTCACATTTGACATCTATCTATTCCGGTCTCTGTCTATATGTGCAGGATGTCTTGGGTTGCCAAACCAGACCAAACCTTCTCTCCTCTCACACTCACAGAAGCCGTCCAAATTGGGCGACCCATCATGCATTGGTGGGGGACCCACCTACATAAAAGCCTTGCTCCACTATTGACAACATGGCAACGGCCTAGCCCCTACAGTCTCTTTTCTACATTAAATATAAAAAAAAAAAAAAAAAAACACTCAGTTATTTATATATTATAATGACACAAGAGTAATACGTTCTGTTTAGATGTATTTTCAAATTACACTTCTATCTTATCACTCTCATTTTACGTTTAGATACGACTTTTAAAATAGAATTTCATCATATTATTTAAAATACAATTTGAAAACTTATTTGGTAGTTTTGTTCTTCATTTCTCTATTTTTAACTTCTTCAGCCTTCTTCTTCTTCTTTTCTAAAAAGCCTTCATGTTCATCATCTCTGAAAAGGTTCACGTGCAAAAAAATATATATCGGTGAACTGATTTACTCATCTTTCTCTGTGTCAAAGATCAGGACTGATGATTCGTCACGGGTAATGTTCATTGAGAACTCAGACCATTTTATAAATTATGTCTGTGAACTCGCTCCCTACTCATACCATCTCCCACAAATCAAGTGAGTTACAATTTGTGCATTGTGGAAGATTCATTCTACGGGCAACCAAACAACGACGACACCGAGATTAAATAAATCAAAATTTTATTTCAAATATTTTCTTATAGGTCACTGATTTTCTGAATCATCCCTAATTTTATTCCCAATTTTTTTTGTCTCAGGTCAAATTTATTAAACCTATTGTCGAATCAGACGACTACCAAAGAGACGCACATTTAATCACTATACCCACTCCATCACTGGTGATAACTATTCAACTCCCACTAATTTGGTACGTATATCCTTCAATCATCTGTTATGTGCAAACGAGTTCTGAAATCATTTCTGAGAAGTCCAAACGAGTATAGAGATAGTTTCTAATCTGTCTGAACTCTTTGAATGGTTAAAGCTTAGCCGGTCGTCCCCCGGGTCATCCGGCCGATCGACCGGCCGGTCGACCTCCCTGCTCATCATTCTCTTCTTCTTCTTCTTCTTCTTCTTCTTCTTCTGCTTATTTCTTTTTGTGGCCTTCTTCTTCTGCTTATTTGTGGTTATTTTTTTACTATATAAACTTGCTTCACAAACTTTTTACAGACAATGTTATGTGATTTTTATTTTGTCTATGTTTTGGCCTTCAAATCATCTGTCTTTCCTAGAGTTCAAATAAACATTGATGTTATGCGATTTTTATTTTGTCTCTGTGTTGCCCTTCAAATCATCTGTTTCTCCTAACATTATTTAACAAGTTGAAGTAAACATTAACGTAATGTGGTTTTATTTTTTTCTCTGTGTTGCCCTTCAAACCATCTGCTTTTCCTAACATTATTTACCAAGTTCAAATAAATATTAATTTTGCTTCGTGCATATATAATTGTAACCGATTTTTGCTCTGTTATTTTTTTATATCCACTCCAGAGCAGTTTGCTCTTTTATTTTTTTATATCCACTCCAAAGTAGTTTAAATATAAATTTTATGTTTATAGATGGATAGAAACAATTCAGATGACAATTAGGATACAAAAATGTGGACTCCCAGAATTGAATAAACATGTTGAGAGAAGAGATTAAAAAAAATCAAACAACGGGCCGTACTACTGTGTGGACAATTAAACATTGGAATCATTTTGCAAATCAATTGCACAATTTGTATGGATTTCGGTATACAGCAAAGCAAGTGTAACAAAAATATCAACGATTGAAAGCTAATTTCCAGACGTTTAAGCGATTGCAGGCACAGATTGGTCTAGGATGGGATCCCATTGTAGGCACTGTTGTTGCATCCGATGAATTTTGGGATAAGGTTTTTCATTAACCTGTACCATTTTCAATTTTTTTTTGTAACATTTCATTACACATATAGTATGCTTAATTCAATATTTTCAATTGTTGTAGGCTACCAGAAATGTAAAGAAGTTTAGGACAAAAGGATTTGAGTATTTCCAAGAAATGACAGAAATTGTTGAAAATTGTTGTGCCACAGGGGCCTTGTCTTGTGCATCCACACAAGGAACCCTTGACTCAAATGAAGAAGATAAAATGCTAAATAAATTTTGGAACCCTGAAGTTGGTGGGAGTAATGTCGCTGAAGCCATTCCTGTTGGCTTATTCGAGTACATGGATCTAGCGAAGGGCAAAAGTCACAAGAGGGGCCCTACAAGCAGCCAGACTGACAGTGGTCATTCGAAAAAGTCAAGTGGGTTCGATGATGTGTGCGCAACTTTCACATCCTATGTATAGGCAAAAACAGAACATTCACGTGCACAATCAAATGACACAGAGGCAGTAAGTACAGGTGGTGATGAGTATTTTCTTGATGCATGTCAAGATGCATTGCTAGAGCTTGGAGACATACCACCGGTGCAGTACGTTAGCGCACTGACACTGTTTAAAAACAAGGAATGACGAAGGTTTTTCATGCGTACTCTTATCCATATGCGCCAAGCTATGATCCTAGCGTTGCAGTGAAGTGAGAAGTTGTGTTTTGATTGAGTTAGCAATTCTCCTTATCGTTCTGCAAGATGATTTGATGATTCCTGATTTGTTTTTTATCATTTTTTTTTCATCCCATGAGATGCTCTTTTTTTTCCATCTTCGTATGTTTATTTTTATTGAACTTTTAAGTAGTTTTTGTTTTGCATCAATAGGTTGTATTATTACAAGATGACTACATATTAAACAAATTTTCTTCTCATATATATTTTAGTAGATGCTGGTAAGTAACTAAGGCCGACTATTCATGTAGCCACTTTTTAATTCAGTTTCACCAATGATGGTAAGCGTTAGCATGTTGTCAAACATTATTTTATAATTATACTTTTACTGTGATGTAGACTAAACAATATGTCATCTGACACAGAAAACAATGCAATGGAGATCTCATCAGAGGAGGATGAGGTTATTGAAGATTTTATGAATTTTTTGATGATTGCTTTCATGCATGACCATATCAACGCGTCAAGTAGTCGCCGACCGTAGCGAACTTGTCCATTCAAAGTTGATGATTACATCTTCAGCTTATTAAATGGCCATCCAGAAACAATGATGGACATTATGCGAATGGATGCACAAACATTCATTTTATTGAAAGACACCTTACTCCAAAATGGCTTTATCGATACTGAACATATGCATATCAATGTCGAGGAATCGCTTGGAATTTTTTTTATACACTTTTGCACAAAATGTGTGGCCTAACGATAATAATTTTAATTTGATAAAAGATTAAAAGCTCCAT